CCAATCTTTTCCTCCGCTCCTCCTATGAGTTCTCTTTCTTCCTCTGCTTTGTCAATCCCTGAAATTGGTTCTAGAAAAAACTTCTTTTGATCCACCCCTTTAAAAGTTTCTTTTTTCTAAGTTTTAATTTGATCCTCTAATTATTTCAGCTTTTTGCTGATCACATGGCTGGCTCGCCCTTCCACCTGTAAATCCTCCCACCACCTTCTCAGCTGATCCACAAAACCTTCCTCCTTGAGCCACAAATTTTCAAACCTAAAGGGTGAATGCTTAGGCTATAAACCACTACAGTCTAGACAAATGAAGGTGTGATCGGAAAGAGGTCTTTTTTTTTAAAATAAGCAAGACTTCATTAATCAATAGAGTAAGTCAGTTCAGTTACAAGCTTCCCATGGAAAGGCGCAAGCTGTGTCCTCTCCAAACTACATGAATAATTCAGAATATATAGAGAACAGATTAAAACTACAGTTAGGCCCAGTACAATTGTTCCCTGTTTGTCCCTTGCTTTGCAAGACCATCAGTCATGCTGTTTGCTGATCTCCCCACCCACTGTATTCTCACAACCAAACTCCTAGTCAGCCAATTGAACATTTTAATTTCATTCTTAAAATACCAGACTACAGAGTCTGGATCTTGTAGCCAGCTCACTACCACCTTGGAGTCCCCCTCTATTATCAGTTGTTCCACTCCTATCTGAATTGCTAGTTGTACACCCTGGATAGCAGCTAGGAGTTCTGCACTAGTAGAGTTTCCAACTCTTAGGGGACCAAATAAATGAGAACCGCATTACCTCTCTCATTCCTCAGTACTCCCACCACTGATGAGCCTGGATTACCAAGGCTACTGCTATCAAAATTCAGCTTCAAAAATCTTTCAGGAGGGAGTTCCCAATCCACACTTACTCTAGACTTTAAAGATGAGCAATTTGCTACTGCTAACCAATTCCTACGAATATCATTAAATAAGAATTGGTGGAATAAGTCCAATGATTTTATCCACAAGATCACCCTATTTAGAATGCACTCCTTCATCTCTTCTAGGCTTCTCTCCTTCTCTTGGAAAATTCTGGGTTTCTCTCTTCTATGATGCCAAGGGAAGAAAGAAGGATCAAAAATCAAACTTACATTAGTTGGCCTAGGCAACCTGCACCCAAATAACGAGAGAAGCCACTCCCATAACTCTGCAGTAAAGGGCAACAAGATATTAGTAAATAGTGACAATCCTCACCATGTGACCTGCAAAGAATACACCAAGTAGGTGAGAGACAAAGAAAGGCCTTCTTTTTGTAGAATATCCAAGGTGTTTGTTTTCCGGTTATACACTTCCCTGCAAAAAGCTATAACCTTGGGGGGAGCGGGACTGCACCAGATTTCCTTGATCGGAAAAGGACGGTTGGGGGAGATTGAGTAAGGGACTTAAAGAATGAAGACAAGAGAAAGACCCATTCAGCCGGTGTGTCCAAATCCGTTTGTCAAGTTCAAAAGGGTCCAAACAAACTTTATCAAGTAGGCTTATCAAATTTGTTAGACACTCAATTTCCTCTTCCCTTAAACCTCTACGGAAACAGAAATTCCGGTTAGGTGCCAATGGATTTGTCAAAGGGGAGTAAAATTTTGAAACAAAATCCTTTTTATACTGAGAGACAGAGAATAGAGAAGGAAAGGGGGCCTTCAAAGGGGCCTCTCCAATCCAAATATCCTCCCAAAAAAGGACAAAGATACCATCACAAACATCATACCTAATAAAACTGAGAAATTGAGGAAGAATACCATGAATTGCTTTCCACGGTGTTGCCAAAGTTGCCCGCCGAGCTACACCAACATCCCATCCGTTTTCTCAGCGACCATGAATACTACCTACCACCTCATGCCATAGTTGACCATGAATAATACTACCTACCACTTGCCACCTCCACAGCCACTTCCCCAATAATGCCTTATTTTTCTTATCAAGTTCCCTAACCGCAAGCCCCATCCTCTTTGTTCTGGCAAACAACCTCCCAATTTATCAAGTGGTATATATATATATATATCAAAACATATTTAAATTTGATATATTTAAAACATTATTTTCAAAAAAATATTGTTATCTAAAATAAATTTTGGGGATTCAGGTCCCCGCAGAGAACCCATCCCTATCGGGGATTGGGGATGGAGGACAAATTTTATCGAGACAATGACGGTTCAGCTCAGAGTCAGAATTTGTAGGCCCAAAGTACTGTTGGGGTAGGTGCCAGCTTGGAATTGATGCCAATTCATGGGCGGGTGTTGGTGCATAGAGTGTGGGTTGTTGACATTTTGAATGTTTATAGCTCTGCAGTGGAAATCAGAAATCTGCATTGGGCCTGTCCGTACTTTTCCGAATTTTATCCCCAGCGGGGATCAGGGATGGGGATGGGGGTTAATTTCAGAACCGGGGTTGGGGATAAAGAATATGATCCCCACCCTGAACCCACCCCATTGCCATTCCTATCTCCATGTTGACACTAGCTACACAACTCTTTCCAAAATTAATACTCAAGTTGGATGACTTCTCAAAGCTTCAACATTTCTATTGGCAAAACCTCAAGAGAAAGGTTGAAGAGCTTCTCTTCCCATTCTGTAGACACCACAAACAACCCAATTTCACCAAGGTCGCATCCTCCTAATTGTTTGTCCAAGTGTATTTGGCACCCAACAAAAGTAAATCCACCAATTCCCACCTTCCCATGAAATCTGTAAAACCCCCCATTCCTCTACTTAATTTGTTCATCCTTTTTTCTCGTAATTGAAGAGAACATTATTGAAATCTCCTCCTATCACCCACGGTCTGTCCCAACCCTCTTTTATTGCATCTAGTTCAGCCCAAAATTCAGCCCTTTGTATTATCATTTGAGCCATAAACTGAGAAAAGAACAAACTCCCAACCTTCTTCCAGGATCCGAAACAAAATTGAGGTTGAGAACCACCCCACCTCCTTACCCTTTGCCTCTAATGAATTTACATCCTAGATCACCACCATGCCTCCTACTATGCCAATAGATGGAAGAAACTCCCAATCACAATCACGCTCTCCCCAAACATTCCTTATTGTCTGAGCTTCCATTACTTCCAGTTTGGTTTCTTGGAGACAGAGAATATTCGTTTTTCATGATCTTAAAAGGGATCCTACCACTATACTCCTTCGGCCTGAATTTAGGCCTTTTATTCCATGATACTAACTTCATTTAAAAGGATAAAGGTTTAGGTGTGCTGCCCTAGCCCTTGCTTCACCCCCATCAGTCCCTGCCGCTTCTTCCTTCCTTCCCACTCTAACTGCTGACCCTACATTGTCATTGAGGGCCCAAGAGAACCTAAACAATTCCCTCTCTATTCTCCTCCCCTTTCTTCCTCTCCCCTCTAGCACCCTCCTCTCTACCTCTATTAGATACGCCTTCATTAACCCCTCCATACCTTTTAAAGATACCCCCAAGAAAGCCCCAAACTACAAATATTTCAAGAGAACCCAAGCAGAAGGTTCCTCAACACAGATTCTATCCTCAAGTGACATCCCTGACCCTTCATTTGTACTATTTTCCTTGCAGCTGAAAGCCTGAAACAAAGACCTCACCAACCGTCAGCCACTCCTTCGTTGGTAAAAAAGTAATAGGGCTCACATCCGGCAACTCTTCTACAACTTCCAATGAATCTTCATCCTCCCCTTGCATGGCCTTCACCATCTCTGAATCAGTGAGAGCCACCCCAACTTCTTCATCTACTGAGTTAGTCTCCTGGTCCTCTGACCTTTGTTGATCATACCTAGTTGAAGGGCATTCGATGGCATCAAAAGGAGCCACCAACTCCATCTTGAGTTGTCTTTTCGCCTGAAACCCCAGCTTGAGAGCCCTTGTGGCTGAGGAAGCATTCAATGACGTAAGGAGTTCAGCTGGAGGGTTTTAAGGCGATTTTTATCGAATTAGTTTGCTCTTGGGCCGGGTTCAAAAATGGAAATGGCTCACTAGAAAAATTGATTAGTTCCTTAGTTTAATGTACCTACATATAAATTGAAAAAAAAAATAGCAATTATCTTTACTAATAACATAAAAATTCCTCTTAGAACATGAGAAATCATCATATCTAAAAGACAATAGTATTTTAAATCTATTAATTTCAATATTTTGAAAATAACACTATAGTAAAATAAGTATTTCATAAAGCAAATCCATATCAAATAAGCAACTAAAAAACTATAATTTTACAAAAGAGAAAGAAAAATGAACAAAGCAGCTATTTTATTTAATATCAGAGAGAGAGAGAGAAAGAGTTTGTAGAAAAGAATAAAACTCTTTTATCCTTCTTTCCTTTTCTCTTCTCATAACCCTTGGATCTTTTTAAATTTCAATAGTAAACATTAAAACAAAGCATAAGTGATACATATAATATATGACAGAATGCATCAACACGCATACTGAAAAGATCCAGCTATAGTAATAATGTTATAGTAAGGCATCTGTCTTGTGATTTTTATTGCACAGACAGGTACCTTTTTGATATAAATCAAGGCATTCAAACTACGCATCCAACCAAGGATGCCTAGTCACCTAGGCAATATTGATGAGTAAACTCCACAGTGCATTTATTGCATGTACAAACTTTTACTATATTTTTTGTATACCTTACAATGGTCAACATCCTCCAGATTAGAGCTGGTCTATTTTATGTGAAAACAATATTTTTGGGGAGAGTAGCACTGGGAATAGCTCTCATTTACACAATTGGGGATGGGAAAATGATTGTGTTCTCCTTGTACTTTATTCATTCTGAATCTTTATTAATAAATTTCATTGATCCAACCAGAAATTGTCAAACAATATATAAATCCAAATATATTTTGGCTTACACAAACATTAAAGGAGTTTTATTTAACATATCTTATAATATGTTGAAATTTGAAATGAACTTTGTAAGGCACAATTCAAGCTATAAATTTTGCAATGCAAAAGTTCACTAACAAGAATTTCACGGGTGTAAATGAAAACTTACAGTGAAAGATCAGCAAGGATAAAATCAGCCTCAGTAGATCCTCCAAGTGCAATGCGAACCACAGTAGCAATTTTTCTTCTTAATGTTTCCATTAGAATCATGAATCTTGTCTATCATATAATTGTAATGGTAATGTCAACTCTTGTAAGGGAGGAATATTCTCAGCAGCAAAGAGCATTATGTGAGGCATTCTCTTGTCATCATGATCATAAAGGACATTTTGTGCATGAAGGTTAGGTGAGCAACTACGGTTGATGAATCTCCCTACATTCCCATATTGTGCTGCATCAATGGTGAAGCCCACATCCTCCACAACTTTACTAGGACTTGTTTGCAAATCTGGTACCAAAGTTGAGAGTTGATCCCAAAGAGTGTGGTCATTATAATTGTGCCTAATATCAAATAAATACTCATCATTGTTGGTTCTTTGCTTAGTCTCCTTATCCTCAAGCAACTTTCCTATATACTCACATATAAAACTTCCAGATGGAATGGAAGTTAAGGATCTGACACCCCAACCCCTGGATTCGGATTTGAAGATCTCTAACTGGAACTTGATGCCATGTTGGCTAACTCTGTTATGGCAAGATGAAGGGCACTTGCATGAAGGACCGCACTCATAAACAAGGGGTTTTACTTCCACAATAGCACCATTATAGTTGAAAGGGATTTCTCCTCCATTCTTGGCTGCACATGAACACTTCTCCGAATCTGAGCACCCATCTGTACAATCACAACCCCTAGGAGGAGATGGGTTGTACCAGTTAGGGTATATCATCTTGGTTATGTACTTGAATGGAAGAGGTTTCTCATCATCTATGGTGTTCACAGCACATATTGGAATCTTCTCTTTCCTATAAGAAATGTCATGCACACAAAGACCATCACGTGCTTTTAATTCCTTCAACTTCTTCACTTCTTTCAAAGCAAGCTCTGGCTGACCTGGAATTCTTCTCAATTGATATTTAAATACAGAAGAGCCATAACGTCCTTTTTCCTGCCAAAATTTTTCAACCTTGTACAGCCCATCATAGGTGTATGTTGCAACAAACTTACCCCTGGTGTCCAAGGAATCAGAGGCCTTCATTTCTTTATAGCCACGAATAACCCTTACAACAGTTCCTGCATCCATGCTATTCTTCAGTGACAGGTTTCCTCGCTCAAGCTTTTGATCTTCGGCTTGCTTATCTCCAGTTGCTGGCTTTCCTCCTGAGCCAGAATATACCAAGACATCAGAGCTGTCCATGTCATCTGCATAACCACCAGAAGCCATAGCAACAATACTTGTTGCAAGGATTTTTCCACCTCGATTTATATAATCTATACCACCTTGAAATGGTCGATGAAGACCAACAATAGCAAGTTCCACCCTGTAATGAAACTCATCACCAACTTCAACCCCGGGGACAGGTCCCAAGATCTTTCCAGTGTTAACCCATTTGTTTTTATCCTTGAGAATACCTGAAGCTGCAAGGTCAATTCGCTTGGAAGGATTTCCTTGATCCTTTGACTTTGATTCCTCTTCATGCAAGAGCTTTCTAAATATCACTTGGAAGAGACGTAGAGTCTCCCTGACTTTGTTACGGGCACTTTTATCACTTGAAGTACTAGGACCAAAGGGAATCAAGCTCAGCTCCAAGTCCTGTGATCTTTTAACTATGGGGACATTTTCAGCTTCTTCTCCATGCTCTAGGAAATCTTCCTTGTCCCTGAGAACCATTTGATCCATCTCTTCATAAGAAGTCTCCCTGGCAACCATTTCACCCATCTCGTCGTAAGCAGTCTCCCTGACAACCATTTGGCCCATCTCTTCATGAGCAGTCTCGTGTGTGGGTGAGAACTTCTTCTTCGAAGATTTTCCTTCTGAATCTCTTGATCTGTCTTTCCTTTTCCTGGAAGCAGAAGCAGATTTATCCTGCTCCCCATTTTCACTTTTCTTTGCTTTATTCTTGGGTGTACCAGTGGTTGGGGTAGATTGAAAAGCCCGTCTTCCCTGCCTCCATGGACAGTTTGGCGCAGCCATCAGAGCCTGCACAATAACCCTGTTATCATAAGAACCAGAAGAACCTTCCGGTTGAGATTGACTTGTAGCCCGACTTCCATCTTTAGACTCCACCACAAGCTTTAGCTTATGACTTTTGTCCTTATCATGTTTTGCTGATTCCTTACCCTCTTTTCCTTCCAAAGCTCCAACCCCTCTCTCAACTTTTTTACTGACTGATGAGAACTTGTTCAACATACTCTCTCTCAAAGGTTTCATGTTAGTTTCTTTTGTATCTTCATGTTTCAACTTACTCTGGGAAGCTGTTCTGACTCGAGCCTTCCCAATTTCTTTATTTACATTCCCTTTCATTTTGTTGTTTTGATCATCTCCATCCCGAATTTTATCTTTGCATTTTTTGGCATCATTCCTGATCTCAGAAGGTGCTTTCTCTTCAAACTGCTCAGTCATTTCTCTGTTTACATCCCTTTTGTATTTATCTTGAGCTTCTCCCTTAACTTCATTGGTAATATCACCTTTCAATTTGCTATTGATATCGTTTTTACCTTGAATTTTATCTCCAATTTGTTCCCTGCTGGAGTTTTCATCAACCAAAGACTTGCCTTTGGATGAAGAAATGACTCTCAAGTGTATTTCCTTACTTACAAACAGAGCATTTCTCCCACAACCTGGTGGGAAATCTCGATTGGCTGAGATTCTTCTCCGAGGAGGATACTTCTTTAACAACTTCTCATTCTTATCTTCAACAACAGGACTGGATGGTCGAGTCTGATCTGAGAAATTCTTAGATGATTGCAATTCCAAAATACTGGTTGCTTGTGGTTCTGAATTTTTTAGTGTGTTCAACAGTTCTGGCTGATCCAAAGCATTTGGCAGAGGCTCTACCCCTTGTGTTGGTTCACCCTCTTCTGCCTGACCTGAACCATTCAACAAATCAGGAGCTTCAAAATTCTCAGTAAAGCCAACATGTATGGCAGGGCTAGGTTCTAAGACAGCAGCACTCTCCACCCCAGATTTTGAGTCTACAGCAGAAACAACTGCAATAGGATCTCCTTCTGTTTGACTGTCATCAGTTCCCGGTGTGATTCCTCCATATCCTTTGGCAAAATCCGAATCAGCAGGCATACGCTCCAAAACAGCAGAACTGTCCACCCCAATTTGTGAGTCTTTGATGACAATATTTACAACAGCATTTCCTTCTCCTGAACTGGCAATAATTCTAGGCACAAATCGTCCACATCCTTTGGGAAAATCTCGGTTTGCTGAGATCTTCCGCCTCTTATACTTGGGAGGAAAATTGTTAAGCACATGAAAACCGTTTTCCAAGGGATGTTTTCGCAACATCTCAGCATTACTGCTACTACCATTAACTAAAGCACCAATTTTGGATGGTTCTGTGGCAGTTTTTACTTCCTCCATTTCAATCTCCACCATATTAAGGGTACGCGTATGGCTAATAACAAAAGAAAAAGATCAATCAGAACAGAGATGGTACTAGAGAACAGCAAAGAGTTTCAAAATTGAACTACAACGAACCTAAACAGATAAAAAAGAATTCATATTTGGAAATTCAATCTACGCAATTTGTTTATTAATTTTTAGGTGTTCTACACATCCATGCTTGAGCATTCATACGATCTAATATGCTACCTACGGTGACAACCCGGGATTCATCAAACTTGAAAAAAAAAAATAGTAAACACACAGAAAGAACAAGACAATCACTAAAAATAACAACCAAGGCAATCCAAAATTGCACCTATCTGACCACACTACGCCGTGGAAACGATAACCGACAAACCCTAATCCGTGAAAGGGGCCATAATCTCATCAAGGAGATGAAATTTGAAGACAGAATAAAAGAAAGGGCAATTACCAGAATCTTCGATGCCGCGAAAACGCGAAAGATGCGACGAAGGTTACCGCAAGGAGAGAAGTAAAGGAATGGTCCGGTGGTTCCAGCAGTGCGAGATGCGAAGGCGAGAGAATCCGTTATAGACTGACTATAGGAGAAACAATCGTTTGCATAATAGCTACTTCGGAACGTCTGCATTTTGACACGCCATAAAATTCCGGCGACTCCACACCATGACTCGCCACGTTATTAGTATTTTTCTCTTTTTTTTTTGGGTAAAATGCAAAATCCTCTCCTTAAGTTTAGTTCGTGACAATTATAAAAACTCCTTCTTTAACAAAATCCTTCTCTAAATTTTTAAAAGATTAAACAAAAACTTCACTTTCATCACTAATTCCGACGAAAAACATTAAACCGATGCATCAACTTTTCCAAATACCCATTTTACTCTAACAAAGTCGCCCACACACCCCAACAAGCTAGCTTTCTTCTTTCTTCTTCACTCAACACATCCCCCAAGCGAGCTAGCTTTCCAAATACCCATTTTACTCTAACAAACGTTAAACAATCATCACGTTCTGCATAGTGACAATGGCAACATGTCTATCTAGAGACCAGCTTCAGTCGGTGCAAGGCCAGTTCGAACATTCTTTGAACAGCTTTTACAGCCTTGCATCGGGAACATTTCCATACTTCTATGCTTTATTTCATAGGGAATATATTCCCAATGTAAGGCCATGATGGTTGTTTGAACGGGCTTTGCATCGACTGAATCTCATTTTCGTCTGTATGGCCTTTTGTCGAAACACCTCTCCATCTACACCATCAAATTATCAAAAACATCCTATCCCTTCACATTCTCCTATATTGGTGCATAGAAGTTGCATCAAATTACAAATGGTGTGGTCTTGACTGCCACTAGCTCCACCCGGCTCTTCTGGCTCCCTCAACATCATCGATCTCAAAGGTGGTAAGGTCTATTTTGATGCCGAATCCAACCACAACAACCTAGACACCACCTTCGTCAAATCTATAGAGGAGATCCCATACAACATCTCCAACACCAGTGCTCAAGGTTGCTCAGTCTCCCAAGGCACCGAAGCATGCGCCACCATTGGTGCTAGAGTCATCCATGTCCCTGGATGGTGAATTGTCTAATCAAACGATGGTTGACAACAACAGCATTGTTAGATTTACGGTGAGAGATGGATGGTAGCGATTTTGGATGTGTTGCTGCTGACTTTGCTAGGGTAAAATAGGTATTTGGAAAATTTAAGGGAGTTTTTTTGTCGAGTTCTTTAAAATTCTAGGGGGGGATTTTGTTGAAGTGAAACTAAAGGGGAGGTTTTTATGATTGTCATAATCATATGTTTTAGGAAATTGACCAACTACTGTGTGTATATTATCTTAAACTTAAAATATTCTTAAGTTGTTAAATAACTATGTGTTTGGTTTGAAGGGAAAGGTAGGTAGGGAAACCTTTACATACATTGTATAGGTTTCTCTTCTTTTCCCTACTTTTTCCTTCAAACCAAACATAGCCTATTGTCTAAAATCTCTCTTTTAACTTTTTGTCATATTCTAATTATATGTGACAACACGTGATTGATATATTTTTTAAATATCCTTTTATGGTTAGGATTACATTAAACAACAAGAAAAATCAACTTCTAGTGAACATTCCAAGCTAATGTTGTTTATTGGTTTAAATATAGAAAAAAAAAATGAAAAAAATGAAAAAAAAAAACGTAGAATTATTAACAGCTATTATGCTGAGCCTGAGTTGGGAAATTGGCAACCTTACTTGAATGAGTGTGATTTGCTAGATCTTAATTGGTAGAAGTTTTTGTGTTGACTTTCTGAGCAATTGCAATTTCGTTTTCGTCTTTTCTACTAATGGCTTGGGCAGGGCTCAAATTGGAAGGAATACAAATACAAATATGTAGATTGGAAAATCATGTATTTTTTTATTATTTTGTATGTATTTGTATTTATACTCTTTCCAAACTGAACCTCAATATCAACGGGAAAGGGGTTTTACATCAGAGAATACAACAAGAATGATAAATTCGTGCCACTTTGTGAGCTCATTCATGTAGCAAGCTTTGATATTGGTATATAAATTCACCCCTTTCAACTACCCAAATGTCTAAAAATTAGGAGAATAAATAACCACCTGGGTAGCTGCCAAAGAAAAACCACTTAGATTGTGCACGGTAATATATATTATGTTGTTACATGAAACGAAGGAGAAATTCTACAAATGAAATCAATTCTTTCACTAAAAAAGTGATCGTAGCTATTATCTCTCGAAAAATGGGTGTTACATGTCTCGAGTTAAATCGCAGCCATAGGCATCTATTAGGTTCTTCTCTGTTTTCTCTATAAAAAGTGGGCCAAATTCCACCTAACTTATAACTGAGCACTCGAAGAACGTTGTGCTCCAATACATACACACAAAGGCACAAACAAAGGTGAGTAATGGATTCTGTTGAGGTCAGGTCATTAAGAAGTTTCATCTCCTACCCAATACCCATTGCACGACCACATAAACCCTATGCTCAAAGGTAGCAAATCTCCTTCATTATTACATTAACTTTGTTCGTATTGAATGCATTCACTGATTCATGCCACCTGGTTAAGTCGAGTTCGGATTTTTTTCTCATAGAGTAAGCCTTACACCGACCTCCACATCATGTATTATTGGCCACACATTGGTAACATTTCCTGTATTTATATTTATTATTCGGAGAGGTATTCCCATTACAAGATGGGATGTGGCTGAGCTTGATGTGAGGTGCACTCTGTGAGCACTGAGTAGCATATCCCAATTCACCTCACAAGAATTGCAACGTGCTTTGTCATTGAGAGGTTTTACCGTCTCTTAAACATCATTGTTGAAGCTGCGAAATGTTTCCTCATCTTAAAATTTTTCATTAGTTAGGTTTTATTTTGAAATTTTGATAAATAGTGGAGGGCAAATTTGATATTTCATTTTTTTTTCTATTGGTGCTTAATAACAATGTCAATTGTTAGAAAACTTAGGGATAATTTAAGACAATATGTAAATGGTAAGGGTAGAGTTAGTTAATTTCCTAAACCATAGGGGAACTTTAAGAAAGTTGCCATCCTTTTTATTTAAATAAAAAAACTAGTTGGGACTTGTGCGATGTATATGTTTTATTAAAAAAATGATAAAATAGCTTTATAGCATTTCCAATTACACAATGCTTATCTAAGTCCAATTCAAGCATTTTTCTGTTATGTCTAATTTATTTGCTCACGATTCAAGTTGTACTTTAGTGAGAGTGACTAATTTTCCATGTTCTAGATAAATTTGTATTTTTTTTTGTATCTTAATACTATTTTTTATAAATTTTTAGGATTTTGTGGTTTGTAATTATTTTTGTATTACTTTAAGGTAAAAATATTTTTTTGGTTTATAATTATTTCTTAATAAAGTTAGTTAAGGATAAATTTGATATTTAAAGAAAATTAATGGATTACATCAACATTTTCTATTTCAAATGCTAATGTAAGTAAAATATCTGCACATTTTTTTTCAAAACAATATGAGAGGTTTTTGTTAAGGTCAAAACATATATAGGGGAAGTTCATAGGGTTGTTAGAAAACTCAAGGAGATTTTTATAATTTTTATATTTTTAAATAAAATTTAAGTTGATTTTAAATTAATTAAAACTATATTTAAGGTTAATAAACTTGTATTAATTTTACTTTTTATTAATTCTTATTTTGTTTATTTAATTATATTAATTTTTTTTAATGGAATTTAAGTCCGTTAGTAAAAATTAATTGTAAAACTAATAATTGTTAGATAATTTTGTATTAATTTTTAATTTACTTTTTTACATTTTATTAATTTACTTATTTTATTATAGTAGTAAAAAACCGAAAAACTGGAAAACCAAACTGATCAAAAACCTCCACAAAAACCGGTAGTACCATTCGGTTTCAAAAAATACCCCACCCTGACCCTGAGCACCGTACAAGTTATAGATGATCCAGATTCTACAAAATGATAACAGGCATTATAATGCCTTGGACCAGGATTAGGAGCCCTTCAATAGCGGCTGAAGAGGCCAAATTGAATGATTTGTTATTTTGTCTTCCAGTTAATAAGCATTAGGTATGCTATAAGCTTTTTAATGGATGAATAAGATAGTAATAAGCCATTTATTCAGCCACTTCAGCCATTAAGAGGGTATTCAGTAAATACCCCAAAGTTATTTTTAAATTACCGCTATGTGTTCTTCAGTTTCCTATAGGTGTGCAACTAGGGGTATCAATGGGCCGGTTTTGGGTTGGATTCCGTCCAAATCAAAATCAATTTGGACGGATTGGATGGACCAACAAGAAATATTGAATTTGGAAGGACTGGATGGACCAATATGACATATTGGATTGGACCTGGTCCGTCTATAATGAATTTATATTGGATTGAGCCAATATCTGATCCATTGATAGAAGATAAGAACATAGGTGTCAATGGACCAGGTTTACATTGAAACCAATATAAATTAACAGGAATTTGAATAGATTAGACAGTCTCTGGACCGATCTAAAATATTCATTGAACTAGATTGAACCAGGTCCATTTGTAATGAACTCACATTGGACTGGATCGGATTGGACCAAATCCAGTCCAATTGACACTCCTATGTGCAACTCAGAGGGTTTGGCTGGGTTGAAGGCCCTATTATAAAATATGGGCATTTTGGGCTTAGGTCCAGCCCAGCACCATGTTAAAGCTTGAGCAGGCTACCCCAAGCTAAAACTGGGAAAACGCAGATTGGGTTCGGGCTTAGGTGGGTCGGGTGTAATGGTGTTTTTGTTCACGTTTGGGCCCTCGTTGATGATGTTCAAAATAATCAAGTTTTGATTGACATGGGAATCAGTAGTGGGTGGGTTTCAAATCCAGTAGCCATGATTAGGGGTGTCAACAGTTCGGTTAACTGAATTATTATGGGACTATTTTTTTTTTTTTGAATCGGACCGTATCATTGCTTTTTGGAAAATCGAAAACCAAAATCGAACCAATTTTAATTGATTAATCGATTGGTTTCGATTTGATTTTTGATCAATTTGATTTTTCAGTTTTTTATTTTTTAAATTATAATATATGTTATAAATAAATATATAATTATATAATATAAATACTATTATGTAATGTATTGTATTATAAATAATAAATAATGTATATATTACAATATACCAATCGATTTGATTAACTGCTGGTTTTTTTATATTGATTAATTGAAACAAAATCGATATCCTTGATTTTTTCAACACCGATGACTGAACCAATCGATTCAATTATCCAGGTTTTTTTATTCGTTTTCATCGGTTCATTTTTTTTTTTTTTTGGGTTTTTGGGTTATCCATGACACATGCAGCACAAATGTCATAACTTTCTACATAAGCACTAGTTGTGTTTTTGAATTTGACTACTCAAGCACGAAAAAAACAGCTGTTAATTATAATTCCCAAAGGGTTTGTTGGGCGAGGATGAAGCTTAAGTTGTTCTTGTCCTGATGCAGAGATGCAGAGGAGGGATAAAAGCATCAGACGTGAAGTTGGGAAGCCATGAAATGGTGTGGATCGGTATTTGATGATTGTTGGCTTATGCAAATATATAGCTATATAGGTACGGCTACAGAAATGCAAGTAGCCAACTACTCACTTGACTGCATCAGCAGCTGAATAATAAATCAGTGGATTCAGTGCCCTCTGCTAATGAGGAAATTAAACTATATTTCAATCATTTCTTGCTTAACAGACAAAATTTGGAGAGAACATGGGAACTAACACCATGGTTTCAGAAAACTATATTTCTAAGTTCTTAAAATTTGGGTGAATTTTGTGATAAAATTTTGTTCATTTAGTAATATTTGTATTAGTTCAATAATATTCTCAAAGTTTGGGCGGAATAATATCATAATCCTGAAATTTCAGACAAAGTATATCCACCTCAGACATTTTATATTTCATGTTGTTGGCTTTGTTCGGAAGCAGAATTTTTAAACATTTCAGTTCACCCACATTTAAATACCATGGCCACAACCATGCATCTGAATATAGACAAAATTTTGCAAAATTTTAGAATGTTTTAATCCTGGTTAGCAATGCAAAAATGTTGAACTGTGTTTGTCCCCAAAATTCTATTTTGGCTTAAATTTTGAATTACCTTGAGATTTAATGGAACTTTATCTACATAATTCAGTTTTGAATAAATGAGTATTTTTTAACACTATTTTATTAAAAAAAAATTAAAATATACCACTGGTGTTTTTTTTTATGGCAGAAATAGTGAAATTTTGATTTATTTAGGTGGTGTTTGGCATCGATGCCATTGCTCCAAAAAACAATGACACATCAGCGCCACGCTAGAAAAATCGGTGCTCTAGAAAACAGTAACATGTTTGAAACCATTTTTCCACAAAAAACAGTGCTCCAAGTCACACCTTAGAAATTAAGAAGGCGTAGTCCAGGGAAACACCAAATTTAGTATTCAATTTGGAGCTTGTTGCTGCCAACGAGAACATGATGTGACAGTAATGTGGACTTCCTATAATGGGCATCAGTGCTGAAAATAGATATAGAGCACTGATACCAAACAGAAGATGTTGCTATTACCCCAGAAAACGTCCTACCTAATAATAACATTTCCAAACAAAAGAAAAATCACCATTACTTCAAAAAACGGTGCTTCCAACCCACACATATACAATAACAGTGCTGTAAAAAAATGGTGCTGTATATTCAACATAGATGTCAAACATATGTTTAGTTTTGGTGTGAACAACCGAAATAACTTAACTTTCCCTTAAAAAGAGAGGGAAAAGAACTTGGCTGCAACTACAAAGTTAAACCGTAAAGGGTTGTCACTTGAGCATGCTTTTTGTATAGGAGTTGGGAGTAGTGGTGCTAGGTCTGGTCCTAAAGAACCATCTTTCAGTGTCAGTCCTCAGCATCTAATTTTCTACACGAAACTTGCCACGAGATCTGACTGATGAAGTTACAGTCCGAAGGTAGGTTTTGGTTGCTTAGGTGCTAGCAATGAGAACCAAACAAAGGCCATCAGAACCGTCCAACTGACCTAGCGTTTCCCTTCAACAAGACAAATTAAGCTAAACTTCACCATCTATATAGTTCTATAGTTTAGAGCTATAGAAAATTTATTCAAAGAGTAAGAAATATATTCGGATGATCATAAATTCCAATAATGCATTCCTTCATTCGTTAACGTTGCCATGCCCATCCCTACATTTAGGGTGTCAATGGATTGTTTTTGGGTTGGACCCTGTTCAAATCAAAATCAATTTAAATAGATTGGACGGATCAATAAAACATTGGATTGGGTTGGGTTGAACCAATATTTGGTCCATTAAAAATAAATATACAAGTATCAATCAATCAGATTTGAGTTTGAATCAATTTAATTTAAAACCAATTTGAATAAATTGGAAGGTCTAAACATTGAAATGGGCCTATCTAAAATGATCTAAAATATACAACCGAATTGAATTGGACCTGGTCCATTTATAATGGATTCATATTGGAATGGATTGGATTGGACCAAATCCGGTTCAATTTACACCCCTGCCCACACTGGCATATCCTTTGCCATATACATCTAGTAATTAACTGGCACCATATAAAGAGTAAAGATTAGGATTTGACAGAAAATGAGAGAAACAGAAAATTTAGGGGCAGTTCAAGTAATTTCACAAATTTTGCTAATAACTTTTCCCCAACTTTCTATTTCTCTCTTATTTCCTATTCAAATCAAGCATAGCCCTACTATTGATAAAAAGGAATCTGAATTGCCTATTGTTCCCCTGAAAAATTAAGTTAATGAAATCCACCATAAGCTAAGGCCTAAGACTTTTTTTTTTCTTTTTTTGAATCCAAACTAGGCAGATATTACCACTTCACTTGGTAAGTCACAACTCTCCCTCTGTATAATGTCCCCTTGGCTGTCCATGGCAGCACATGTATAGTGTCCCCTCATGAGAATCTGGACAAATATCTTCAAGAGAAGAAGGTTCTCTCTTTTTCTAACTTATCCAAACAAGCAACTTTCCCTCTGCCAGACACTTTTGTCATCTACCAGGTTCACCAAACCCAACTTTTCACTCACTATTTATATTTTCCAAGATTACTTGCAAAGAACTACCCAATAACACAGCGCCACCTGTCCGGGTTAGTAATAAATCCAACAAAAAGGAAAGTCTAATGGAGGAAATAAAAAAAAGCAAGTTAACAGAGTTTGTTAGCCAACCAGACTGTAAAGAAGAATTCCCCGTCTGTATATTGAAAGTTCCAGGAACCCAAATGGAAAGCTTGAAGAAGAGAAAACTACAAAAGAAAGTTGATTCAATACACAAGGTCATGGGTTCAATCTTCAGCCCTTAGAGGGGAAAACAAGAGAGAGAGAGAGAGAGAGAGAGAGGATCTCTAGCTATCTCGAACATGAACATTAATTCATAAAACCTTATACAGCCAGCTGCTGTTGTTGATGGGTGGGATCATCTTCATTAAAGCAACAGTGGAGCTTTAGGGGAGATTCAATGTACATCTCTCTTTGGATGTAGGAGCAGTAGGTGTGGAAGGTGCTGGGTGTCACATTTAAATGGAAGCTCAATCCAAATAGGAAATCCACTTCAAGATAGTTCATCTCTGTTGTGATAATACCTCCAACTTTAGCATAATAGGCATTGTTGTAATACCTGTAAATTCCCACAAGACAGAGAAATTAGAATTTAGCTCTCTATCAGAGCCAACAGGGAAATTCCCAAAGAATAAAAACAAAAGAGAAACCATTTTTTGTCTTGATCTTTGAAAATACTAAATGACCCCTCAAGTCAACAACAGTGGTACATATCAGGGAAGTAAGGCTAGGTGGGTTTCACAGGGAAATATCGGAAAAGAAAAAGAAAAAAGAGAATCAATATAGAAAGGCTTTTGTATTGATTTCAACTCCATGGAATGTAGAGGACAGCAATGCATAGACAGCATTACCGCATCTTAGGTGGCTGTCTGATAAAAGATGGTGAGGTTCACAACCTCACATGGTTGTATTTTATGCCCTCTTCCGGCTCTGGCGGTGGTTGTTTTTGTTCCATAAACGGTGCGTCTAACATGCGCCGGATTTTCTCCGGTACATTTTAGTTAATTTCAGATTCTTTGGTTGTCCATGGCTCCATGCTAAAGCTAAACTAAGCTATTTGGGTTTTGTCAACTCAAATCTTAGAACTCATTTTCATAAAAATACAATGGTAAAGAAAATCAAAAGACCCAAAATATATAACCTGGAATTCTGAGTTTTCAACCTAAAAAATCCCAGCAAATTCAAACAGGTTTCAATTCGAATCAACTCAAATCCTTTCGTGAACATTTATCTCAACATGGATCCAAAAGCTTCCTAGTTACAGAAAAAGCAGAGCAGAAGAAGCTACACCTAGATGAAGAAAACACAATCATGATAGAGAGGGATAATCATCAAATTTGAATCCAATTATGAGAATTGTAACTACTAGAAAAAACCATTGAGATCAAACGAAGAAAGAAAACAAAAATTGAGATCAATAAATAAAAGGGGACCCAAGAATTTGAACACAATTGGTAACTTACATATCGTCCATGAATTTGGCGGCAACCATGACGCTGGTGATGAGCAATCGATGAACGTTGAAAGAATTGATGGGTAAAGACGGTTGCTTCTGAGCGAAGCGATCAAGATAAATATAAGCGACGACGAAGCAAGAAGGGCTACAATTTGCGTACTTGAAGATTCTCTCAAGGTAGCTCTGAATTGAGATGGTCGGCCGGGTGAGGCCATGAAAGACGGAGATCTTCTGAGGCTCGAATCGGCGGCTGACGTCGTTGGATTCCGACACTCTCTGCAGCATAGACGAGAGGAAGGTGATGACCTTCGGCATCACATGCGGTCTCTCGAGCTCCGCCATTGATGAGTTGTTGTTGTTATTGATTGTTACTGCTGTTTCTGTTGCAGAGCTGCAGATGCGAGTGCTTTGAAACTCTCTCTCTCTCTCTCTCTCTTCTTTCCTTCTTAGCTGTCTTGACAAAGTTGACGAGAGGCGGGTTTCGAGTATATAATGGCCGCTATTTACTGGATTGTCATCGTGGTCGTTAGTAGTTAAATCTATTTACTAAAATGTCCTTATCCATTTCAAGTATGACCAGGATATCCCCATGTATGATTATGTTCTTATTTAAATATTACCCTTTTTTTAACTTAAGCCTTTATTTAGAAAATATAAAATAAATCTAATGGGTTCGTCTAATTTGGCTAACTCTGTCTTTTGTTGTAGAGATGGCGATTATACCAAGAAGACATAATGATGTATTTTTGCAAAGGATCCGGGTATTTTAGGAAAATGGTAAAAGAAAAGATAGTAAGAAATTACCAGACTTTACAGCAAATTGCAAGCGTGATCGGCTTCGGTCAGGCAAGCCCGTACCTACACCGTTTCCAACTATACCTTTCTCAATCTTGGATTGGGAATTTCTCTCTATGAAATAAAACACCTAAATTCCGAGATATTCTCAATACAAGGCTGCTCGAATGGGCTTTGCCCCTGAGCTCTTAACATGCTGGTAAGATACAGATATCCTCCCTATTATCCATGATTGCGTTCTCTCAAATGCCCCTGCTCGCTTATAAAATTACTTTAATACCATTTTCCTCGAATTTACTTACAAACTCACTTAACTCTGCTGAGTTATGTAACTCGTCCGAGTTTACAAATGGGTGGGTTAGTGGGGGTGTAAAAACTAGTGGAGAGTGGAGACTGAAGAGGTGAAGTGGAGTCTCTCTCTCTCTATCGATCGACAAGACAACAATGGGACAGGAACAATGACAGAACGATGACTGCCCCAGGTAGCGACGATATGGTGCTACAGTTGTGAAGTTTAAGGTGTTGTCGGAGTGAACATGGTTCTCAATGTGACAAGGATTGTACTGAGACGATTGATTGATGCTAATGCTATTTCCCCACTTTTCCCTCTTCCCGGAGTTCCAACCGTCTAGGTCTAGCTTTTCTACCTATAACACTGCCCCAACCACGATGCACCACTTGTCAGTTCCCTACACGTGGATGTGGGAGCCATCAATCAGGCTGATGTGGTATGTCGTAATACACCCTTTGGAGTATTTGGAATGCCCTCCCACTCCCCTCTACTTCCTCTTCGGTACTTTTTATCTTTTTACTTCTTAGATTCAATGTTTCTTTCATTTTTATGTGAATAGAATCAATTGAACTGACATATATGAAACAATTTAAGCCTCAACTATACTTAAATTTCAGACCAGTTGATCCACCTTTAGAATTAGAATTGCATCCTGCATAATTTTGTTCATCCCGGCGGTTAGTAATAAGGTTTAAAGTATCGATGCGTATTATGCTGGTGGTTTTCCAATATATTCTTACAGGGGTTGTATCGGGTCAATCACGGCCGGTTCTTCTGAACTGATTTCGAAAAAAAAATAAGTGAAACATAAAAAAAAAATCAACTTGGGCTGATATGCCGTCGATATTTAGAGCCTTGGTTAACAATATAATAAATAATGAACAATTCTTCAGAATTATAAGAAAAGTAGCACATTTAATACCGCATTATTACTATATTACACCTTATTATCCTCATTTGTTATAATTTTACCTTCATGCAACCTTTCTCTACACCTTTTATATTGAACGACGGTGTTTAGTGTCTTTAGTCATTACAGATAATCCCCACAAAGAAAATGAAGTTTATTAAGGAGTCAATGCCTCTAAATCTGAAATTCTGAATCATCTGGAAGAAAAAAAATAAAAAACTGATAGTTCTAGGTAATTTAAGTTAGTGCTTGGGATCGATGCCAATTTTCTATAAACGGGTGTCACATCAACGATTTCAAAATCACTGATTATCTTGTTGTTTAGTGGCCCATTTTTGAAAAATTGGAAAATTGATTATTAAAATCAGGTTGAAAAGAAGAATCATGATTCCTCTTTTTAGGCTGTTTAAAATTATTTTTGGATGATGTGGCATCCCATAAACACCAAAATCACTGATAATTACTACAAAACAAACACAATAATGGTATCAAACAAGCAATTTTACTGATTTCTAAGAAATCAGTGATTTTTGAAAAATTTAAATAGAGGAATCAACGTCGATCCCAAACACCACCTTAAATTTGTGGTGGTTGGGTAGATGGAAGGAGGTGATATTGAACATACCAGTAAAGGGGCCAGTCATTAATTATTAAATAATACATGAGATTAAAAGGCAAAAGACGTACTATAATGTATTGAACTTATAAAGAGGCTAGGGGAATTTGTTTTCACACCTGGAATATTCCCAAGTTTACCAATAATCTTTTAAAGAGGCTAGGGGAAATTAGTCATCTTATTGATTGAAACCAGAATTTTTAGTTCATATTAAACCAATAATAATCAGTTTCTGCTAATTCTTCATGCTAGAGACATGCGTACACATTTAATGGAATTGTTTCATTTTAGTTTTACATAACATTTGATCTCAAGTAGAATGAATCCATTTCTTTTTTAGGTACAAAAAGGGAGAGCACTAACAAAGACGAGGTAGTGCGACTCCAGAATCCTCCCACATAATTCTCCTTTTCTCCCCTGGGTATATGAGATCTCACCTATTATTTTCTATGATATATATAGGGGAGGGAATCTGAGAGTTAAATAGCAAATTATTTTTTTGTTTTCATATGCTCCAAATAATATATGCCAAAATTTCTCTTGTTTCTATCTTCCTTAGGCCTTTAGAGATTCTGACCCACCAATCCAGAAAACTTTCATTAGGCTTGGGGCCCATTTGAGAAGGATTCATGCATTAGAAGCCAGATTTGAGTAGAGAATGTGCAATTTACAAGTAGATAGTTGAAAATCCAAAGTTTATTTGGGGTCAATGTTTAATCCTAAATTAGCAAGTCTCGACCTTGTAGGTATTTTCTCTATGTTCAAGAACCAAAGAAACAGCTTCGCTTTTGGCTGAACTTTCAATTTTCTAGCAAAAAACTTCATAGCTAAAACTTGCTCATTCTCCTTGCCAAGTACTAACATTAGCTTGAAGCTAGGTTGCCGAATTGATGGTGAATTCCTCATTACTACTTAGACCCCATTCAATTCATCATGTATATTAATCTTTGAGAGAAAAGAACTTTTCAGGATATTTTTGTTTTGGAAAGTGATGAAGGAAGATTTGGCCCGACCTTGTAACCACTCAACACGTGACAAAGGCAATAGCTCGGCACAACAGCACACTCAAGGTGCGAGCTCCGAAAGGAGGAACCAGCGGTCCGAACTCCCTACAAGGAGCCTGAACTCCCTGCAAGGAGCCCGAGCTCTCCCTTAGACCCCGAGCCTTACGAACACAAAGGGCAACAACCCGAACTGGCCTGCCCCATGGCAGTTCGGGCCACACCTCCATCCGAACTCAAGACTTCACCTCGCACACCACTCTAGCACTTCGCCTCCAGGACGCCGAACTGAACAACCGTACCGTACCTGACACCGAAGGAGTTCGTATCCTGAGGCGGCGCACCTGACTGACTTGGGATCTGATGCTTGACAACCGCACTTCAACGGCCACCTGCCACCACCACCTGCCACTGCCATTTCCAGTTACAGAGACGGCTCTGACAAAGAGAGCAGTGGCGGTTCTGCCCCAGCAGAGGTGATGACACCCGAACTGGCAGAAGCGCAGGGGTAATCATACCCGACCTGACAGAAGCTTAGGAGTGAGTGCGCGAAGTGGTTATAAAAGGCCCCCTTCCCCCCAAGAAGAGAGGTATGTGATAACTTTGCGCCATCTAGTTTTTATCTTGCCTTTGAGGAAATACTAACTTGAGCTTCGGAGCATTCTCACCGGGTTCTTCCCCGGAGATTACTCGCTTTCTCCTTCGTTTCAGGCACCTTTTACTTCAGCCCGAGGCAAGATCTTTGACAGTTAGGACCGGCCGGATTGCACACCATCAAAAAGGATATTCACCGGGATACTAGAAGGATCCCAGCTCATAGAAGAGATCAAAAACTCACTAACCTTGCTGTTAATATTGATATTCTTTGATTCACTTAAGTTTGAAGTTTGAATAAAGGAAAATTAGAATGCAATCATCTCGGTCCAAGGGGTGTTTATACCACCTTTTGGTGCAATTTCTATGAATCTTGGCTCACAGAGTGATTATGAAAATTAGTGCTAATAAGATCTGTTTGTCATTTTTCAAGTGGGTCTCACACAATTACATCAGAAAAAGGATCAACATAAGAAAGTATAATCAGGTTTCACAGAGAGTGAAATTGGTTGTTCAATTTCATAAATGTCAAGAAGTTTATCAGAGTATCAGAGTGATTTGATTTTGATTCCCGAAAACATTAAAGGGAAAACGAATTTTTTCTGATTTTTAATTATTCTAATCTAAGAAATCACTGAAATCAATAAATCATAATGGTTTATGTTGGTGAAACTCCCTTATGTGGCTCCCAAACAAGTCATTAAGAGAAGAAGAACATACATATGATTCCATAACAAGCACCTTAGAGTAGTAGTTTCTATTGTTTGTAACTAGAATAATTAATAAATTCGATTCTAGGCTTCTTATACATTATTTCAATTATTAATTAATATTCATTAGGATTATGAAAAGAGGGAGTAATTTGGACATAAAAGGAGACAAACCCCTAATAATTAGTAAAACTAATGTTTTAAATGACAAAATTGCCCCTATATGTCTTAATTTTTGTCATTATATATATTGGGGGTATCTTGTCTTTTCACTAGTGATCCAAGACTATCTAGTGTTTTTTTTTTCCCACCCTCAACATTACCCGTTTTCTATATTGAGTATATGATATATCTTTTTCAATATTATATTTTCACATAGAGTAACTCTTCTATGGATGTGTTGAGCATTTCTTTCTCAAGTAAAATACATGCCGGGTCTTTTTTAAATGATGTGATACTATACATGCTTTGAGAAAGATAAATCGCTTGAGGAGTCATCCTGATTGATCCCCTATATATTAATACTAAACTTTGTG